CTGTTCACAGCGGAGACATAGTCCTTGAGCGACTCCGCTACCGCTATGGCCACACCGTTCCGCTTGGTGTCTTCTCCATTGTAGTAGAGCTTGACACCTTCCCCGATTTCCCTGGCCTTAGCACCTTTCCATCGCGTCTCCTGAAGGCATAGGACTTGGATATTCCTGCGCGTCATCAGGATCAGCAACCTCTCGGGACTTCCCAGTTAGCGATCCTACGTTTAGAGTCCCTATTCGAACTAGCTTCTTTGGCCGAGGCCGTTCACTCCTCGGTAGCCCTCGCATACTGACCACAGAACTCGGGTGGGGTTCCGGGTGACATCCTAGCTTTATCACTGATTCCCTTTTCGGGCTTGAGATTATTTGTTGTTGCACGGGGTCTTTCATCAAGGCGGCTCCTGTTCAACCTGGGTCTGACGCTGGTACTCGAACCATTTTTGCAATTTCTGCAGGGCATCGTCAACCTAGATAGGGATCGAACTCGCAGCTTTTAGAGGTGTAGACATGTCTGCTCTCTTAACCACTCGGCTAGCCCTGTTTTGGTCCAATCCCGAAGTTTATGTTTTAGTTCAAGGGCTCTCTATTCTACAATCTGAAGAATCTCTGCCCTTTGAAAGAGAGGCGTAGCCCAGGCGAAAGAGTATTAGAGATGCCACATAGCTCCTTGAAGTCTGGTACGTCACCAAGATAGTTCTGGCTCGTCTTGCGGAAACACCGGACGTGATAAAATGGACGCTGACATATTTGGTGAAACAACGTGTTGAAGAGGTAGAGTCAAGATGCTCTCGCTTCTCACGGAATCGATAAACCGTGCGCTCTATGATTGTCTCCTACCCTTGCTGGATCCGGTCGAAGAACGGGGGATTAAATGCAGTTTTGGTGGGATTTAATCGTGACCCCTTCTCGGTTTGGCTAAATGATTGGTGAGCGTCCTCATTCACTCAGTGGGACCTGCGAACTGGCGACATCGGTGTGGTCGGGAGTCCATTGTAGAACGTGGTTCGTGTCGGCAGCTGACGAGGAGTTACGCGTTTTCTGGACACATTTCAAGTGTATTCCAGGGGGCAGTCTCGTTAAGCCACGAGTGGACGCAAAATGTATAACGTGTTACCAGCAGCTGTTCCAGCTATGACCTGTTCCATCACTAGTGAGTTACCCTGAACGTTTGGTTTCCCAAATGGGTGATGTAAATGAGGCGTAGCTTCCCGCAATATGTGCGCTTATAAGACTTTGTACCATCAGTGCTGCACGGGCTCGTTGCAATACCTTACTTGGGTAACTGCGCAACGTTCCATTTTGATCCTTCTTTGGGTAACTCGGCATGTCTGATTGGGTTAGTGAGGAGTAACTCACGATGAAGACGATGAAGGGGTGTTTTTGAGATTCTCGGGAACTTGCCCAGGCTTTCTCCATAACTAACTATACTAGTAGCTCTTCTCATCCCCTTCAAATCGTGCTGACGCCTAATCCTCTTATTAATCGAATATGCGCTTCTATAGTGTTTGATTGAGTTTTGGATGGCGACTAGAGCAGCGAAAAGAGGATGAACAGAAGCGATGCGATGCGCCGCGCCATCAGTCGAAAACCTCATCACGGCTGAAAATCTCCAGAGGAAGTGGAAAATGGGGGGATGGAAAAGGCGGCAGAGGACGCAGACAACCAGAAAAAGGCACTTGAAACGTTTTCGGAACAAATTATATTTACACGGTCGATTTCGCACGCACATCGCCAAAGCCACTAAACCGCGAATAATTCTGGGTGATAACTGTTCCATGCGGGAAATGTCCTCAAGGGAACACCAAGTGCAATGGCCGGAATGTACGAGCTCTCAAGGGGAAGTTCAGAATTGTTTTTTGTCACTTTTGGAGGTACAACGACTTAAGGCGCCGGGGAATCGAATTGTTCACGAGGCAGCTTAAGCCAGCAGCACTAAGTGGTTGGCGGAGTTTCACCGAACTCGTTTGGGAGAAGATCGGTCTTTTAAACGCCATCTAAGTCTCTGTAAATCGCGTCCGGACGTCTGAAATGCCTCTACGAATCTCAAAGGAAGTCATATTCATGGCGTAACTTCAAGGAGCAGGCCTCCCAATTCTCATTAAGAATTCTAACAAAAGTCTCACGAGAGCCCCAAGAATCTTTCGGTTCACTCAGCTGGGAAACCAACCCAAGCTCAAAGATGCACCGGAGCACTGAACATTGAGCTCTGAGCGTTCCTTTTGGAGTGCGCCACGCACACGGATGTTAGAGGCATTGGAGGAATTGATATTTGAAGGTGTTTTCGGTCGATGCAGTGACTATTGATATTTTGAAGGGGTTTTCGGGTCGATGCAGTGACTTTGGTGGCTCTCTCGACGTTGCCTTCTTAGCCGGTTACGATGTAAATTCCGCAAGCGATCAATGTGATCGTGAAGGGGGGGGGGGTTGTTTGCGCAATGGTCAGCCATATTTCTTCCATACATACAGTAGTGGCCAGAAATTTATGAACAAACGGTTTTTTCATGATTTCTCTTTTGAAAGTCACTGGAACGTCTCCAAATTTGCAACAATTATTAACTACGTGTTTTATGATCCACACAGAAAATTTCAACCTTCAGCTCAAATTTGGGTTTAGAAAATTTTAGATTTTTCGAAATTAATGAAGGCAGGTGAAAGATCACTTGATCCGTTTATTTGATTTAAATAATGTATAACCCAACAGAACAGTCAAGTAAACAGTCACTAACATTAAGCAAGTCTAGCACATTGCCCAGAACTCTCTAAAGTATTGGATACATAAACTGGATTTGAATGCGGGTCAACTAATGAACTCACTCTCTTAGTGGGGTCTCTCTCTGTAGTCCCGTCTTTTCGTGGCTCTTTCATTGACATACGAATTTGTAGGTCCTCCCCTAGTGGTTCTGTAATGTTTGGCTCAAGAGTCTGGCCTGGCTGGTCTTTTAAAAGCACCCATGCTGTCGAAACCACTCCTGCATGTGAGAGGCCCGATGCTTTGAGTCGCTGCTCTGCCGACAGGCAAAGTCAGGTCGGGCGGCAGCCACGCCTACGGATACATGACACCTTCCAAAACATGACAGCAAACGTCTGCCTTCATCGCTACCTCAGTCGTGTAGCGTGGTCCCACTTTTTTCCAAGGCAACCTTATCAAGCCTCCGCCAAGTTTCACAATTGGCAGCTGATTCTTTGGATCAAAACGTTCCCTCTCGTGGTGCCGTACATTACTAGTATCCTTGCTGTCATGCATCAGTAATATGTTTTTGTCATTCCAGATGACCTTAGAAACCTGTATCAACCTTTCGTTTCAGGCTTAGTCAATCACATTCTACTCCCACCCACTTCACAGCGAGCGCTCTTCTTAGACTTTGAGAACTAAGGAATACGTAGTATAGACTTAGATTCTAGAAGATGTTATGTATCCGTAGACATGGCTGCCACACGACCTGGCTTTGTCTGTCAGCAGAGCAGCGACTCAAAGCATCGGGCCTCTCACATGCAGGAGTGGTTTCGACAGCATGGGGTGCTTTTAAAAGACCAGCCAGGCCAGACTCTTGAGCCAAACATTACAGAACCACTAGGGGAGGACCTACAAATTCGTATGTCAATGAAAGAGCCACGAAAAGACGGGACTACAGAGAGAGACCCCACTAAGAGTGAGTTTCATTAGTTGACCCCGCATTCAAATCCAGTTTATGTATCCAATACTTTTTAGAGTTCTGGGCAATGTGCTAGACTTGCTTAATGTTAGTGACTGTTTACTTGACTGTTCTGTTGGGTTATACATTATTTAAATCAAATAAACGGATCAAGTGATCTTTCACCTGCCTTCATTAATTTCGAAAAATCTAAAATTTTCTAAACCCAAATTTGAGCTGAAGGTTGAAATTTTCTGTGTGTGGATCACAAAACACGTAGTTAATAATTGTTGCAAATTTGGAGACGTTCCAGTGACTTTCAAAAGAGAAATCATGAAAAAACCGTTTGTTCATAAATTTCTGGCCACTATGTTGTTCGGACCTATACGAATCCGGTGACCGGCTGGGATGCTCAGCCGCTGAACTAGGTTCGACAACTCCAGCGCTGCGACACCTAGGCCTCAGATCCTCGTATCCACTTGACATTTTTTTTGTTTGGCACTTCTTCTAACCACTGCGAGGTTAATGTGTTGGAATCACTCCGGTCCATTTAGGATTTCCTCGCAATCGTTGCCAAAATAGGATCGCTGTGGAACTCCTCTGGGAGTGCCCTTCCTGAGTTGGCTTTCTACCCGGTGTGGCCTCTATTCTCCTGAGCCGTGCGCAGCTGGAGCAGTACGGAAGTTCAGCAGCGGTCGGACGGCATGCGACCCCTTGTCGCAAATGAGATAGCGGCAAATCCCGCGGGAAGTGCGACGACGAACTCGTGCTTCGATTATAGCCGTACTCATCGACACCAAAGAACATCGCTTCAGGGCAAAATCGTAGCGTAGTCCCATGTGAAGTCAGAAGCGTTAAAAGGGGCTTTTCACACTTTGTCAATCGACTAAGTAAATAAGATGTTCATACTTCCGGCGCCCAGCTATTTCAGAGACGCGGAGCAATTACTCTAGTCGTCTGTAATCGAGCCTCAAACCTTTATGATGAAAAAAGTACTTCCTTGGAAAGGAAATAAAGAATTCCTCGGCCAGTAAGCTTTCAAAGGATCCTTATTCAACGTTAGGAGAGAACACATACCTAAAATCGGCGATCGTTATGCGTAGTTGGGATGCGCCACGTATTTTACTTCCACGCGCAATCGAAATGGCATTCAAGGGAAAATTAGGCTCCTGCAATGGTCAGCAGGTATACGAATCAATCCTTCCTTCTCTCACATGAGGATGATAGGTATGAAGAAATCTGGATGCGCTAAGGAGTCGGTAAACAGGGCTTGGTAAGCTCACGGAATCCGATCCGTTGACCATGTTTTTCGCAACCGCGCCACTGAACTGCACTCCATCATTTGCGCCTTTAACAACCTGATTCGCTATTATGAAATTTATTGCTGAGTCTGTATTGCTTCTCTAGTCTAGTACTACAAACTGTTCAAGCACCCCACTAGCGATGAGCTCTCTAGCATCAGTCCAAATCATTCATCCCCAAATTCAAAGTCTCTTTGATCTTTTTGGTCAGATTTGGCTTTGAATACCAGATAAGCCCTGGATGGATTTCTCTGTGCCTTCAGATCGGTGCTCTCTTCCCGGTACATCGACAGATCGCCGGCTCCGAGTCATGCGGACAGATCTGGGAGCAGTACGGTATTCAACGGACGGAGATCGCCCTACGTACTGTACGCGAACTGCAAGATCAGTTACCGTTTCGACTTGGGATATCAGTACGGTAAGAGCTCTTTGCTATTTAGTCTCATGATCTTTTTACTTATCTGCTATTAGTTATTGTGCATGTGATGATCCATTGTCCTGAACCCTGGTTATGGCCCGACTAGTCCACCGATCCTCAGCCTTGATCTTGCCTTCTTAACCTTTCTTGTTAACTTTTGTATTTATGATTACCAGTCGTCAAATCATGAGATGCCATGAGCTGGTGTGTTTCGGTTCGACCAAAGGAATACCTTCAAAATGCTGTTCTCTTCCAGCTTCTCACTCCAATAATACCAGTGAAGTTTAATATCAACACCTTACAGGCAAAAGTGTAGCCGCAACGCGACCGCTCGCGGAAGTGCCCTGTTGTCCGATCAAAGCCTCGTTCTTTTTTAGACACTCGGTGATCGAGTCTTTCCTCCACAAGGCTTGAATTGACGTATGAGCTACTTTTGATCCTGCCTTTTTGTACGAAGTGAAGCCGAATATTGTTTCATGCCACAAGCGGGTAAAGAGGTTTCTCACCCGCCTGTGGCTATGAGACAAACCGAAAGTAGCTCATGGTTAGTGAAGCGGCCGGTTGCATGGCGGCAAAGTGATTTGAGGGATCTTGATTTCCTTCCAGAACTGCTTGATAACGCATCTGTGGCAACACATAAAGCACTCCCGAGTTGGCCCATTCAAGCGTCATCCTAAGTGCCGCTCGCAACCGCTCGTGTCCACTCCATCCTTTTGCCAGTACTTTTTGTTAGACTGCGGAAACAAATACATACAGTTTCAAGCAGGACTAAAATGGCGTTGGGGGAGGGCACTTCTCGTGCTCTACGGCTCTGATCCTAGCGAGCTCTGGGAAATAGGATCCGGAGATAACGGGCATTGAATAACCGCTAAAGATCAGGTTTGTAACATGTCCATTACAAAAAAGGTTCAATAAGGATTGGCTGAATCGACGCGTGGAAACGGGGATAGAGGCAACAATCCGGGCCAAGTAACGAAGCTTTCTCACTTGAGGCCTGAAGGGCTGAGAGCGAGACGGTGGCAGTGGAGAAGCTTCCGATGGCCGTTAGGATTACTGACCATGTTGCATGAATACATGAACTGTTGGATTTTGGGGACTCCTGGGTCCTTTCATCGAAAACGATTTCAATGAGCGGGTGTTCAAGGTTTTTATCCTACCGCTGCCAGATATCTCAGCTCTAGAGGGCTGGATCACACACTGAGCCCACCCCCTCAGCGCGCTATGTCGACAGTAAACGTGTATATGCTGACAGATAGGCAAGCAGATGTGATAGTATTGCAAAATTTGGTGCAGCTCAAGTCCACCATGGTTTCCTGGCCAGACCAAACGAGATTTTTGGTTCATTATGTTTTCAATGGTTCTCCTCTTGTACACATAGCAGTGTCGTGGGCGCTGTGTTGCGAAGCGTTGCAAAACAGCTCGTTAGCCATGACTGATTCGATTTACGGCCGCCCGTTCATCGTCGCCCGTGGCCGTCGTCGCTGTCGCCGCGGGTGGTTGAGAGAGTGAGCGGCACGCACCTTTTGAGAGCAATATAGTTATTTATTTGGGACGTCTGGCCCAGACTGAATTTGTTGTGCAGAGAGGAAGCGCGCGGGCCCCCCGGAGAGGAACGCCGCGCCCGACGGCTCACGAAAGCAATGCAGCCGTCCTGTAGCGAAGAAATGCTCACGTCCACAAGAAAGAAAAGCGCTACCGCAAGATAGGGGGCGTCCTTAAGGACTTGGCCTAGGAGAGTGCAGGAGCTTCGGGGAAATGAAAACTGCACACACAACCTGAAATCTCTCCCTTCGGGGTAAGCCTTCTAAAAAAAAGAGAAGTTTTAGATGATTTTTCAGTGTCAGTCCAATGCTCCCTTACCTTGCGATAAGCGCGACAAAAAAACTTGGGCAGGGACGTATGCAAAAAGAGAATAGTTAGCTAGGTTGGAGGTTCAGCAGGAGCGAACAAGATAGATCTTCGTTTACATGTTTGTCATTGCCTTTTCAGGAGTTTTCTGCGTCTCTTCCCTTTGTTGTCCCCCGTTTCTCTGCGCTACAGCTTTTGCGGGTTGGTCCTTTTGCAGGCGATCACGAAGATAAGAACATGTTGAGGAACGGGGTAGAAACGCGTCCCTAAATAGGGTTTTCCATACTCTTTGAAACGATGGTTTACTACAGCCGACGGGTAAAAGGCAAAAATACTGCGGAACTGGTCACGGAAGCGCGTAAAATCAATACGATTTCGAAAGCATGCTAGGGAGTACGGAGAATTCAAAAGCAGGGCAGTGAACAGGTTTAGAAGTGCTGGTTTCTTTACCAGTATTCGGATGGTACATGACGTTTAGGAATTACTGCAACTTACCAGCATCTCTAACCATTAAGTGTCATGCGTCGTTCTGTAAGTTGCGCGGGGTGAACCAGCCGCTGCGCATTTTCTAAACTTATACATGCATCACAACAGTCACAACAATATGTACATCGATCAATAATCGATTGATTGCATGATTCCAGGGACTCGTGTTGGACGGAACGGATCGCCATGGAGCAGACGATTGCGTTTCTGCGCGAAGGCGTTGCCCAATGCAGTTGCTGTCAAACACCCGGATGCAACAAGAAGAGCGTTGCCGGTGGTCGCCATTGTCGGTCCCGGCAAGAGCTCAGCGACGATAGCCGTCCAAAATCTTATCCAGGTGGTCGCGGACGCAAATGTCGCGAGAGTATGTGGCCACCAGCACCGCCCCGCGCAGTCCGCGGCTTAGCCGAAAGTGCGAGAAATGGTACGAGGCCGCGACAGTTGCGAATCCGTGCGAAACGCAGCAGCGGCACTCGAGCCGGCCACACCGCAAATTCACCAGATTGAACAAGTTTACCTTGAGTCATCCGACGGTGTTTAGGTGGTTCCGAATCCCTCAAATCGGTTACTCGGCGACACACCGATCTGTCGACAAATGAGCAGTTCGGGTACTTCAGTTGCGGATATGCGCCTTTATTGTCCCATTTTTTTTTTATTCTTCTCTCAACTTGTGCTTCTTCTTTTCAGTGTTGTTCCGTCCGATGTGTGGCAAGCTCAAGCTATCAATCGTCTTCTTCATCATTACAATTGGACCTACATCGCCGTTCTCTATTCCGCAGGTTTGTGGCTGCTCAATCCGATTTCACCTGCGCCAGAATGTCTATCACGAGTATTACCACCCTTATGGCCAGTACAATCATATTTTATGACCTCGATTTTGCTCCTCGCATTCAAAGGATTATTGCTGGGTAAAATGAGGTGAGCGCAGCCTCTGAAGGGAAAAACATTGGGGATTCCTTCTTACACACGAGCGATCGACTTGATAGTGGCAGCAGATGCAGGCAATCGGTCTTTCGAGTCTAGTATTTAAAAATGACCGTTCAGACAAATTATACAGAATGGTCGCAAATTACGGCATTGCACCGCTCCAAGAACGCAATGTCGAACGTAGTCCCGCCAGTATTTTCGAATTTTGCTGGTTGAAGTAGTATGAAAATAAGTCGTCGAGATAAAGTGGGTGTGCAAGATGTGTCCATGGGAGGACGTCAGGTGGGGGAGGGGCGCTGAAAAAGAAAAAAAAAAAACAAAAAAAAGCCGCCAGAACTCGGCGGTTCCTTATCCTTGAGAGCCACTAGTTCCAACGCAACAGGGAAGAAGTTCGTATTCGGAACGAGCTTCACGAATGGCGCAGGTTCAGTCTTCAGTACCAGCACACCGAGACGCCTGCGACGGTGTTCGGCTTCGTCGCGCAAGCGGCGAGGCGAACGCTGCGACGTCGCTCCATTTTTGGGTTCGCTGCCCCGAACAGCAGGGGCGGCGCGTTGATCGCTCTCACACTAGTGCTGGCATTGTGCACTGGAAAGCCTGCAACCGCGCTCTGACGCAAACGTGGGTTACGGTATACATCCTATGTTCCTTAACTTATAATCTTGTGATCCCTCTTAGGTCTTTGTCGCCACTTTCAAGGCTCTGTGGGGTGGGGGGGGGGGAAAGCGAGCAAAGGTGTCCGCCGTTCACCAGACTAGGGATGGAATAGCAGTGGAACGTGGGCCTAAATCCAGGAGCTTCTAGGAAGAATGATGAACTGTATTTATGAAGCAAGCAGAACGTTGATCAGATCGCTGAAGGTTTCGCTGGAGGTTGACAAACCTAGCGGTACGAGACAGGTGTGGGAATCCATTGTCGTTTCCCAAGCGAATGTCGTAGGGGTCCGCAACCTTTTTTGTAAGGAACTCATCGAGTTACCCGAACACTCTGCTAGCTCAACGATTTCCATATCTTCGAGACGCAGTACGTCTACGGAGAAGACGAAGACCGAAGCCCTGCAAAAATACTTTAGAATGTGGAAATGCACGTTGCGGAATTCTCTGCAGGTGGCTCTTGTAAGGGTCCTGTATAAGCTCGAAGACACTTGAGCATGTCATTATGAGTGCCTACCCCATCTGAAGCTTCACATCGAAATTGAATAGAGTGTTTGAGCGTTAAGGTAACGAGGCAGCATGCGGTGTAGGAACCTCCTGCTTCGCAGTATCTTATCTATCTGATTAGCCACAACTTTTCACCGCTTCTGCCCCTCTTCTTCTTCTTCTTCTTCTTCTCCCTAGCCTTAGTCCCGCGCAGTTGCAGGGTCCGCTGTCTTTATCAGTCGTCGCCACTTCGCTCTGTCTAGGGCATCCTCTGCTGTGGCCGTGATTTCACTTAGGTCCTTCTTGATTACGTCCTTCCATTCTGTTTCTTGGGCACCTCAAAGCCTCGTATCTCAAAGCACGATATCCTTTCACCGAGTTACGGCGACAGGGCATATGTATCGCATCCGTGTGATAAATGTACGTGGAAACCTTATGCTTCTTTCCTGTCGCCTTCTCTCAACTGCTACGAGTTCTCTTCAATTTTCCCTTCCCTTTCTGCCCTCATCACGTGTTTCCTACTTTTTTAGTCTTTCGCGCTTCCTTCTTCGATTTAAGGGCGAGGCTGTGATTTCGGGCCTTTGGAAACATTGGGCCATCAAATTCGACTTGTCCTCGAATTGCATTTGTAGGCTTTTCAGCAGCATTAGCGCTTGAGCGTAGAGCCCTCAAGCCTTTCGGTAAGTGCCAGAGTGAGCGATGAAATACTCGTTGCTGCAGAATACCAAAGAGATGCGTAGTTTGCTCAATGAAAACAGAAAATGAGTTTGATGAGCCGTGTTTGGCTCGCATCTTGCAATGGTGTTCTGTACGGCACCTGACTGGCTTCACGAGAGTATTCAAAAGCTTTTCACTAGCTCGAAAAGACTCAGAAGACAGCACAGAAAGATGGTCCTTGCAAGCGGGCACTTGGCGTTCGTGAGGGCTCTTGCTAGGGCTAGACGCAGGCAGCGAAACGCATAGGCGACACAAAACATTTTTCGAGTTAGGAGCTGTGACGTTGAAGTAATAGCCGTACCGTATTCTGTTCAGCTTTTTCTGCGAGGGGATCTGAAGGAGTCCTTCTAATAAGTTCTTGTAACGGCGAGGCTGGCTGCTTTATAGAGGATGCAACTAGTCACCAACAGCTCTGATCTCACTTGTAGACCAGAAGGCTCAACCTCCACGCCAGCCTCACACGGCAAAGTGATACAGGCTGAGCTGTTGCCGGCTGGGCCTTCAAAAAATTTAACCCTTTCCGGACCGCCTGACACACATGGTGTGTCAGGAACTTCAAGAGCTGATTTTTCCAAGAGTTTGGTTTTTCGATAAAATATTTTATGTTGTTACATACCTATGTAACAGACTCATGCCATATGTATGAAAAAACCTAGACTTTAGGTTTAATCTAGGTTCTAAAATAACCAAAGAGTAAATGGACTTCCACTTTGGGCTCAAAGAAAACAGTTGTAGTTCGCTTGAAAACACTTAAAAACGAAGAATTTGTGAAATATCCTGCTCGTCGTATATCTGATTCTTATGGATCCAATCGTTTTGGGCACGTTCTACTCCCTTTTTCTCCATACCAACTTATTTTGAACAATTTTCGTCCCTTCCTCCCTTTTTATGGCCCTTTCCCTTTTTTTTGCAAAACAGTTTTCTGTCAAATTAATCTTATATATTCTTCGAGACATGACAAAGACATAAACGAGACAAAATAATGGCTTTAGTGGGAATACAGATTAAATATATGATATTTATGCTTGCCGCGCAGCATGCGGCCGTGAGCGCAAAAAGTGCGCGGTCCGGAAAGGGTTAACACGTTGACGACCGCGCTATTTTTCGCTGTCTGGCGTGTGGGACCGCGCGCATTATTTTGACCGCGCGAGTGTGACATGGCACCATGTCAAACGGTCCCACAAGAACTCCTTTTACTCAGGAAGTGTGTATTTGTTATCTTTCTTGTGTGGTAGGTCTCCGATTATGCGATTTTGGCCATTTTAGCGATTCCTGTGATTTGATCATTATTCAAACATTTTTAGAAAAACTCGATAGCCCATCAACCGAAGCTTCTTTCCAGGGACCACGCCTTTTGTAACAATGCCTAAGTATGGCGCATACATCACGTAAATAAGTTACCTAAAATGTTTGAAAACCAGCTTAAAAAAGACTGTGACATGACATCATGTCACACGGTCCCACGTGGCCGAAAGAGTGTGGTATGACATCATACCACACGGTCGTCAACGTGTTAAGAATTGGCTCCATTCTGCCAGATTACTTCCTCCGCAGGCACCTTCGATCTTCCTGCACGGGAAAAAATTCGAGGTGGAGGAAAGATTATTGAGGCAGTCGACACTTCCTTAATCGAACGTGACGATCTCTTTGAATTTTTCCTCACCCGGAGTGCCCCATAGAGGAAGCATTTTATGGGACTTATGGTGTAGAGAAATGACATGTTGAAAGTGAAACGAGTATTTGACAAAAAAGGACAAAAAAAAGTTCAGGAGATTTTTCCACCCTCTCGAGGTAAAGTTTCGTAGCTGTCAAGCTCATGAGTGAGAAACTCGAATTCAAATCGATTCTACACTCCTGGTCAATATCGATTAAATTATCGATTTACGTGAAGAATGACAACAATGGGTGGCAGCTACTTCCTTAACTACGTACGTAACTTTAGTCCCATTGTGAACCGCCATAAGGTCTCAGGTTGCTACCTTCTTATAAATTACAAATCTGTTGTCTCGCCATGTGAACGCCAGAATTGCCAACTCGAAAAACTCGATACTTCTACAAAGGTGCTGAAATCCTCGATAATATTCCATTCAATTTTTGTGCATTATCTGCGCTATTTTTATTTATTTTTATTTTTTTGTGTTTTCGAGATGCTTTGTATTCCTTTTTTGGAATATTGGAATCATCATTTGAGTTTTTTTTGAGAGTTTATAGAGTGTTGATGAGGTTATTGGTGAATTTATTTTCATTTTTAAATACAAAATATGTAGCCTTGAAACAAACTTACTGGCAGACATGAATAACATTATAATAATATGTAGCTTGAAATGTTCCGAGTTCTACTCTCCTCGACGAAACTTCTTATGGTTGGTTCAGCTGTCCACAGAGATTCGGAAGGGTCATAAGCGTTTCAGTTGTATCGGTTCAAAATTTTACGATCGTGTAGAAAGCCTTGAATATGTGACAATTCTTCAAAACTTGTTCTTTTGTGGTCAGCAACGGTCCATTCTTGTGTGATAAGAATGGGTCATTGGGACCACTCCCCGACACCACCAGTAAGCTGTCACTACAAGAGACGTGAAAAAAACTCTTTTGAATTGACAATGAATGGCTTTGGCTGGCTGTCGCGCTCTTTTCTCTGACAGGTACTCTCGTCGATTTCTAAAAGTGAGATTTTAATTGACATTCCCTCCTAAGTGGAACAAAGGGAAGCAAATAGATTGACAATATGGAAAAAGCGCAATTGTTCTCTAGGTAATCGCTAGGTCCCTCAAAACTTCAGAAGAAGTTTAAAAAATCCTTAGACGGGTTCGTGGTCGCCGAGGGTGGCCGAGGTTGACCGTACACAGGTGGGGGCAGAGATTTGCGAAGTAAGTAAACCAGCCCGTTTGGCGTTTCTGCTGGGAGCCGTATGCTGAATGTTGGGGAGGGGTTGGGGTCCCCGACGGTCGACGGACTACTTCAACTCGGTCTTAAAACTGCCTCAATTTGATGCTACCTCAGGACTAAGCCTTAAAGAGAGGAAGTCTCTCGCAGGTCCGTTTTCTCCCACGAGGCTGTTAGTCGCTGCGGGAAGCAAAACAAGCCTTTTGCGCGGAGAAAACCTGGAAGCAGTTGCCCCACATCGCCATCATTTTCTACCTGTACCGACGAGGGGCGCTGCGTTTCTCACCTCACAGTCGCCAAAGAGACACGCAACATAAGAGGACGCTAGAAAACCTATTGAGTCTACATTGCTCAATACCATTGTTGAGTTGCTCCCCCGGGGGTCCGATAAGCTGCGCTGCGTGACTGCGATCTGAGCGGAGACAGAGCTTTTTGTCGTGAACTTTTTTGTTCTCGGCGAAATTACTGACCCTGGGTCTTAGAAAATTATGGAGGTTATACGAAGTTATACGATCAGGCAACTACGGTGAGAAAGGCTTTGAGGCCCTCGAACGGCTGCTCAGTCAGAAGAACTCGGCGGTTTGTGTGGCCTATTCACAGAAAATCAAAAGTTTAGCCGGGGAAGCTGAATACAAGATGTGAGTCGCTATAGGAATTCCAAAATTAGCGGTAAAGATGCAATAATTCACAGCTAAACGTCGGTGTGTAGTAAGGTATCACATGCTAAAAAAATCTCATCATTATACGCTAGTCTTAGTAATCACGATTTCATTTTTATTCGTATGACCCAAATCGCAGTGAAATCTGGTCAAGCGAAGCAGTTCTGCAATGAGACGTTCTGTCACTCTTATTCAATACCTCGTGTTCAAAATCTTCATTAGCTGGGTCCTGGTTACAGAAATCAGACTCGAGGGGTTCCAGAATCAGTCCTCGACGCGTTCAGAAAATACATGCAGACCTCATGGTAGACCTGACGAACAAGGCAGAGCTGGTGAATCGTAATGTTGGTAATGTCGGGCAAGGCATAATAAATTTTGGACAAGATATCCGAGTAGAAAAAGCACAGAATTGTTGACAGTATCCCTGGCTTGGTGGATTAGTAGCTGGCATCCCTGAGAAAGCAAACATTCTGCTAGTGGGCGGGACTTGCACGAGTAGGCGGGGCCGCGCACTATTAGTACTTTGGTGACGTCGTTTAATAATTAATAACTTCAAGTTTATTGATTTTGCATTGATCTAGCTCATAGAAGGCACACTTTTTAAGGTCCTGAAGTCGCTGGCCAGCCAAAAATCACGTCCACAGGTGGTCGTCTGCTTTTGTGAAGGCCTTACGGTTAGGAATTTCTTTCAAGCCCAAAAGCATCTGATCACACGCAATAAGAACTTCAAGGTACGTTCCTTCTTCTTCGGCATTACATACCCGCGTCACAGACTTCTTCATATTTTGTTCACTGAAGAAGTTTTGTATACAGCGTTTCCAATGGATCGGATCCGACAGTTGGGCAGATCGTAACGACGTCGTAAACGGTCTGGAAGACGAAGCGGAGGGCAGTTTCAGCATCAGAATTCACGCGCCTAAGGTATGGTTCCAGTCGAAGTACTGTAAAGCCACAACCCACAATTAATTTGGTGTGGCAGATCCGCTCGAATATAAAATAACTACTGCGAATTGACTGTCAGTTGAAGGACCCCCACACGGGAGTTTTGTCTTCTTTCCGTGCATCTCGTGTGATCACTACTTGTAGCGCACACAGTTCCATGGATGGAAATCCAAATTCTGAAAAAAAGCAAGCGTCCAAACCCACACTTCGTGGGCAGTTTAAGGACACCTGGGCGGAGTCAAAGGGCGCATGGAAGGAACGTAGTGAGGCTACCAAGTATGAGCTGAGGCGTCATAGAAAGGAGCTTACAGCTGTCCAAACTGAGGAAAAGAGGCAAAAGGTTTCAGCGCAGTAGATAAGATGCAATAGAAATGTGAAAATTCTTCTCAACACACCCTCGGAAACGAATGGATGCGTTCCCATAACTAAAAGCGCTGACAGTTCTACGGCTGAAATTCGAAATGGTAATAGCTTTCTTGTTTCTTCGGCTTGCTTACCAACACGAACGGAATTTTTCCTTCCTATTCGGCCTTATCGTGAAGGATGGGCCTCAGGCCATCGATTTATGGGGAAGATAGGATCGTGGGATTTTGTGCACGAAAGGCAAAAGGGAGAAGAAACACAATAAAAGTCTCCTTGTTCTACGCCGTGAAGGAGGCTCAGATGCAGACAGCGAGAGCGAGATAAGAGGTAACGGAAAATGAGGAGAGAAAAAGACTCTGAGACCAGAGAACATGCAGATCAGTGATACGATGCAGATGCGATATCGCATGGCGGGCGACCGACCGGCACCAGGGCGGAAGTACCGTTTGGCGCCGAATTACGTTCTGAGGCATCTTCTGCCGTTTTCAACCTGTTCGCGAACATTTCAC